GCGAAATATTTCAAAGACAAACACGGCCTAAAATTATGAATCAATTATATCAACCTCGTTGCCATAAAATAATTTATACAAATAACTGCTACAACATGTGCATTAAGATTTTTAATAATTTACCAAGCGGCATTAAATTACTACACGGACATAATTTTAAACTACAATTGACAAGATGGCTTATGACACATTGCTTCTATAGTAATAAGGAATACTTTGAATTTAGAAATATTTGACATTTTAATTAACTTCAATCACCTGTACCAGTAAATTCCAATATATTTGCACACCTGCTTGCAGGTTGAATACATTGTACCAATTTAATTTAAGACCTGTATATTTACTGTATTCTGGCAAATAAACGTTAATCTAATCTAATCTAATCTACTTGAAATCATCACACTGAATAAACTCCACTGCTCATTCGTAAAGCAGATTCCCCTGAGAAGAATGAGCAAGAAACTCTAGGGGTTGCTATTTGTAAATATACATTTATCATTACAATGTTTTATGTTATTTAACTTAAACATGTTAGCTCGAGAATACCTGAAAGAGCTAAATGGGTCACTACCACGGATTTAGTATAAAGTTTTTAGTTCACTATAGTTTTAAGCCTCGTAATCGGAATTTTATTACACAAGCACATTACGTACATAATAATAATAATAACGTACACACTCAACATAGCTCCGCACTAGGAAAACCCTGTGTCGCGGGTGTTATGGACACACACATAGACATCCACAAATTACACCCAACCAACGAGAGAAATAAATGTAGGCCATACAAATATTTCTCCCGGCCCGGGAATCGAACCTGAGACAGTTAAAAGCAGGAGGCAGTTAAACGAAAACATTGTCCCGTTTTTTCACGCCTTTTCTAACCGACTTCAAAAAATAGGAGGTTCTCAATTCGACTGTGTTTTTTTCTATGTAGGTATTGTATGTTATTCGATAAACCCGGCCGCGGCATTTGTGTAACGTTTTTGATGTTTTTTTTTTGTTGGAAAGAGGGTATCTCAGCATTGGTCACACCCTTGACCCATTTAAATTTGAAGAAAATATTTCACCTCTAAGGGTGGCAAACTAGGGGATGAATCGCGCACTTTCAGTTAACCGATTTCAATAAAACTTGGCAAATAGACGTAATTCCACGAACTTTTGTGGTCCTTTTTTTTTAATAAAAAAGTTATTATTTTTATAAGTAGGCACACGCCTAATGCGTAGTGGTAAGCGACACGACTGTCCATAGCAGCTGCAATGGAACTCTGAGCTTTAAATGGAAAGATCTGAGCCTCTACCGTGAGTTTACAGAGTCAGTTATCTCTAGCGACCGCGTAAAATGTTTATATACAAAATATTGTTCAATGTCAAAGTCAAATAATCATTTATTCCTTGTAAAATTTTTAAAACGTCATTATTTAAGCTACTTCTCGTTCACTACGCTGACCTCCCTGAGAAGAACGAGCAAGAAACTCTAGGGATTGCCCTTTTCAAATAAACTTAAATGCTATAGAATACACTTTCAATTATAATTGTGTGGAATCTAGACTTTGTTGCATTTCCATACTTCTTTATCTAAAACATACTCTTCAATTTTGTAATATGACTGTCCAATATAAAAATACTTTTAATGTAAGTTTTAAACTTAGGAAATGATAATCTTAATATATTCTCCGGAATCGTATTGTAGAAACGTATACAGTTCCCCATAAAAGAATCGTTTATCGTGGTGTCATGAGTTTGGACTTAGTTCTAAGGTTAATATTATGGATATCTTCTTTCATACAAAATATTTCAGTAAGTTTACTGTGATGCCACAGTCATGATACCAGTCTCCTTAAACTTTTCTCTGAGTGAACCTAAACGGTACACAGAACGAATCGCTCGTTTTTGCAACACAAATATGGTTTGTATTATCTACCGCGTGGGGTAAACCCACATGTTTCTTCTTATTAGAGGCGCTGTATAATTTGTCATACAAAATTGTGAATTTACGCTGTCCCTAGAGACAACTGTCACAGTAAACTCAAGATAGAGGCACTGAAGAGCAGTGCCATTGCGCCGGTCACACTGAGACATGAGTTGACAAGTCTCACGTGCCTGTAATTTGACCTTTCACCAGTAACATTTGAGGTCAATGACCAGTAACTTAGATATTATGCACAAGGATTCGAACCATGGTTGTAGATTTTTTTAACATAATTCTTGGGTCGGCGGACTAAAGCACATAAGTCTAAAAAGTGTTTCATTTGTTAATATATAATTATATATTTTTTGTATTATTTATAGTGTTGGAAGAAATGAAGAATGTTAAATTTGAAAAAGACGCCTCCAGAACAAAGTTACAAATTTATGAATTCGACTTACTTGTTTTAGCAGGTAGATGTATTAATTGAAATCAATGATGTTGGATTTTGACTTATGTGCTTTAGTCCGCCGACTCTAGAATTACACTTCTTTGTAGATTTGTACATGTTTCCCCGTGATGTTTTCCTCATGATAAATTTCAAATTAAACATCAATTTCGAAAACTCAAATGTACAAGGCCAGATTTGAACCCACGCCCTCTGCATATGAGCTGGTAACCATAAAACTACCACGGCTTAGAGCTGGTAAAACAGCGAACTGATAAATATTTTACAAAGTACAACATTATAACAAACATATGCTTTAATTATTAATACAAAGATCGAACACTCAGAAAAAATTCCTTCGATCCGGTCGGATTCGAACCGACGTCTTCTTGCATACCGTGCCAGACGCTATACCAACTAAGCCACGGAACGAACCAACGGACCTCACGAATTTTTCTATGTGCTTGCGTCGTGTCTTTGTACTTGGTCTTTGAACGACTTTTTAGTCGTAGCGCCATCTATGAGAAATCTATTACAGATTTATCACCATGTATGCAAGAAGACGTCGGTTCGAATCCGACCGGATCGAAGGAATTTTTTCTGAGTGTTCGATCTTTGTATTAATAATTATAACAAATATATACTTTGTTAGAATATTAAACATCAACCCATTAAACTTCCCACTGGGCACGGGTCTCATTGAAAGGATAGAGTTAAGGCAATAGTTGCAGGTTTCACGATTTGCCCCATTTGTATGTTACCAAGTAACGGGACGAACAAGTCGTGCGCCTTATGATAAGCGACACGCCTGACCATAGCAGTTACAGTGCCACTTAGAGCTTTAATTCACATAGATCTGAGCAGTACCTACTGCCAATCCGCCCGTCAGTTGACAAGGCTCCTTAATAATCTCAGTACAGAGTACTAACAAAACCGACCTCAAAAGTACGTGGAATTACGTCTATTTGCTAAGTTTCAATGAAATATCCCCTAGTTCGCCACTATACAGGACTTGATACTGGAGATAATAAAAATAGGTTCTCACTACGACCCTACTCAAAGTATATCGAGAGAAAAACGCCAAAAAATAAAAATAATTGCTCCTAAATTAAAGTTAGGCGCTATTTATAAAAATGAATCTTCATGCGTGAACAGCCACCCTTTGAGGTGGATGATTTTCTTCAAAATGAAATGGGACCACTATGGAAATACCCCCTTTCCAACAAAAAAAGAATCATGAAAATCGATTCACAAATACCGGAGTTATCGCGTAACATACATTCCAAAAAAAAAAGAACATACAGACGAATTGAGAACCTCCTCCTTTTTCGAAGTCGGTTAAAAAACCGGAACGTGGTTAATGCTCATATTACTGCTTGGTGGCAGAAATAGGTAAGGTGGCAGTATTCATATTCATATTCTTTATGTACAAGTTACATGGTTATACAGCAGGTGTTCTTATGCTAATGGTACTTGACATGTAACACCTTGTAGCACTGCAGCATTTGAGGGCACTATGTCCTTACTTTACTAAAACATATACATTATTATAAAAAATTAAAAACAATTCAATAAGAAAACTGAAACATTATTTAAATAAAATTAGAAATGACTATCGAGCTCTTAGGTTTTCGCGATTGTTACACACAGAAAATTAAACTATTTTTCCGGATTTATATCGCCTTTATTTTTCGCCTAAATTTAAATCGTATTTAAGCCTAGGATAAACCTACACATTCAATGAAGTTTGACAAACCCCAGGTCCTTGCAAAAGAAGTCCGTTATCTACCCAGGATGCTGCGAGAGGCCATTGAAATAAAAAAAACATCCTAATTTCAACAGGGAAGATGGTTTCTCCGTACCACCAGTTTGGGATGTAGTATTTCGTCTAATGAAAAATTCCAAACAGACATAAGTCTGCAGTAATAATTATTATGTTTTAGTTTATTCTAATTTTCTCTTATTAATTAATAATAAATGGAAGTTAATAAAAAATTCATTCAATAATATAATTTGTAAAACGTAATGTAGCGTAATTACAATATTTTCTTTGTAAAATTAAAAATAATGTATTTCATTAATAACTGTTGTAACCATAGTGAAAAAATAGGGTGGTTTGCATTAATATAAGACTTAGTTGGTTGATGACTGTACCACCTCAGTCAACCGTGACCATGGGACCTGTAAAGGGCCCGAAACGTCGGTTTGTTTGAAAAAACAAGTATAAACGATTTAAATCCGGAAAAGGTCATTTCTTATTAGGAATGATTAATAACAAAAAACTAAACAGAATTTCAGGTAATATTAACAATAAATATTAGTAATTTCTTTTACATTCAGGTCTCATTCCTGATATACTCATGTCTGGCTATTTGACATACTTTTACAAATTATATATTTGGTAATTCGTTTTTAAGCACAATTTTCTAAAAAGTACTTTTAGTGAATAAAACAGCTTTACTTTGTAGATAGCTTTTTAGATGGGTTACAAAGTCCATATGTGTATCTAGTGTTTTTATATTTATAGTCCTTCCCTGGACGAACGCTTTCAAAAGAAGCTATACTGCCATTATGGTTGAGATTGTTAGTATCTTACAAATAACCCTAGACTGACTATTATTTTTTATTGTTTTTGTTTTACCAGGTACAAAGTCCTCTTCCGCCGGTCTACAAGGCATTCACTAACCACGTCAAGCAGAAGGTATCGAAAATCAAACAAAAAACTGGGAAAAATCTAAATTACCATGTAAGTTAAACTGTTTTACATTTAAAACCTTGGTGAGTGTCGTAGCCGAGCCCCTGATGTAGATTCTGGGTATATTTTCCCCAAAACCCCGTGACGTCGAAAACCGAAGAAACTCTATACACAAAGGATAACTTCTTCGACTTGCTAACTCGACCTTTAAGCTCAGTTGGAAAGAGCAAAAGACGGCATCCCATGGTCGCAAGTTCGAGTCTTGTCGGGTCGAAAGAACTTTTCTTTGTGTTGAATCTTCGTATTAATAATTATTTGATTGTAATATACTGCCTCAGTGGTCGAACGGTTACCACACTGGACTGCCATGTAGAGGCCCCGGGTTCTATTCCCGAGGAATATTTGTGTTTTGAATAGCTTACTGCTTCCAATAACTATCAGTTTTAAAAAATAGATTACCCATTCGATTTTAGTGTAATCAATAAAAACTCAAAATGCCAACACTGGAAGATTTTGGTGGGGTTGTTAAAGACAAGATGAGAGATGGAAGTTAATTAACGGGTGCAACGTTACGTTCCTGAAAAGATGTATATTTTTACGGGTTTTAAGGGATTACATATTAGGATTAATATGTATTATAGGTATATTATTTCTTTTCAATATTATATGCTTTTAAGCTTACAAATGTATGGCCTACATTTATTTCTCTCGTCAATTTGGGTGTAATTTGTGGTTGTCTATGTGTGTGTTAATTGCATCCGCCACACACGGTTCCCAAGTGCGGAGTTTTGAGTTTGTGCGTTTTACAAAAAGAGATTAGATAGTTAAGTTTAGGGATTCGAATCGTAAATGGTTCGATTGAAAGGCAACCGTTTCCCCACGAAGCTACCATCGCTCTTGTCCACAATCTATGTCAACATAAAACTACCTTTGTTAGCTTTTTTACGCAACAGCAACAATGTCCTCATTTCAATAACGCCACAACGAACAATACTGTAACTATAGATAAAATTTCCCACATATTTTACCTACTTACTTATTCGCCTTTCTTATAATAATAAGCTATTTCTTGCATCAATGTGAAGTTAGTTTATTATCGCTATTTCGTCATAGACGTTATTTTCGTCAATTGTCAAATAATTTGATATGTGTTGTAAGGTTCTATTTCAATTTAGAAACATATTACCTTGATATGGTGATTAGTGTACCTTGTTAATATAGGAGCAGTAGAGATTCTTATGAAAGAGTTTGTCCATAGTTTGCCACCCTGCCTATTTCTGCCGCCAAGCAATAATATGAGCATGCGTTCCAGATTTGAAGGTGAAATTACAAGGACTGACAAGTCCCAGTCTAATTATCCCAGTGGGTGGCAAGTGTGGTGGTATGTGTATGTAAGTGTATCACGTGACAGTCCGTAGTCGTAACAGTTAGTAGCATCAGAGCTCCGAGTTCGTCCAGGGAAGTACTGCCACCTTACCTATTTCTCCCACCAAGCAGTAATGCTCATATTACTGCGTTCCAAATTTTGAAGGGTAATGATACTGGTGAAATTACAAGCACGTGGGACTTTTCAACTTACATGTTATGTCTCACCAACTGTTATTGACAGGCGTGTCGCTTTCCACCAGGCGCATCACTTGTTCGTCCCGTCACTTGCTATCGATAAAAAAAACACTCTGTACCAAAGAAATCCCACCGGACATTACTCTCGTCAGTTCATCTACGTCAAATTACAGGGCACAGTTCTGTTCTCGCTAAGCGTATTAGGGACATAGTTATTTATTTAAACCTTATTGCACAAACAATAGTACAAATGGCAGTAAAGTCACTTTTACAGACTAAATTAAGTAATAATTATAATAATAGTAAACCTATGTAGTACCAATGCTGCGCACCGACCCCACGGCGCCGACTCAACCGGAAGGTAAACCCGGAGGGGTTTTAGTCAGGTAGGCCCTCCAGTCTGGTGGGAGAGTCCCCACATAACCCCTGAGTCTCCCTGGGCTCAGGGGTATATATAAAGATTTTCCCCCCGTAAAAAAAAGTGCCAATGCTGCGCACAGGCCTCCTCTCACAATGAGATGGATTGTGTTGTATTTCTCACACGGGTTCTGCCCTCTAGGCTTTGCAGGTGTGTGCAGGTCTCATTACGATGTTCTTCTTCACCGAAAAGCTCATGGTAAATTTCCAATTAAATTTCGCGCATAAATTCCGAAAAACTCAGAGACACAAGCCCGGTTTCGAATCCACAACCCTCTACTGGAGAGGCAGTAGATAGGCTACCACCACGAAAGAAAGTATTTATGTGGTCTGTGGCTACCATAAAGTGTTACGTGTTTTTTTAATGGCATCACAATATGGGCGTGCATTCGTGTATTTAAACTTTTGAAATTTTAGCCGAATGGTTACCATGCCACGTAGAGGTCCCAGGTTCCATTCCCGGACCGAGAGAAATATTTAGATGGCCTACATTTATTTCTCCCGTGAGGTTGGGCGTTTTTGTGGTTGTCTATGTGTGTGTCCATGGCACCCGCGACACAGGGTTTCCCTAGTGCGGGGCTATGTTGATTGTTGCGTTATTATTATTATTATTATTATACGCTGTGATAGCGGCCATATTCCTTTATATACAGGGTTATTTGTAAAAGACAGACATCTCAAGACTATAGTCTTTTTACGAAATGTAATGAATGTAAACTAAAAAAATATGTTGAACTATCTGACGTTTTTTAGGTCTGTATTTGATAGCAAGATAGTATTCGTACATGCGTCCTCCCCATCTACCCCTACCCATTTCCGTTTTTCTTTTGTTACCTCACAAAGTTAACACGCTTAGAACGATCTGTTTAAGTAAATATTTTTATTTTAAACAAAATATGATGAATTTTATTATCAAAAGTCAAAGAACAAAAGTTATTGTTCATGAAAACTGCATCCCATGAAACGGCATCAGTGGGAGATGGTCCATGTATAAGTTTTAATGGGTAGGGCTCGGAGGATCCATCGGGCGAGCTTTCATCGCCGGGTAATGTGCCCCTATAACGTTTTATACAATTTGACCAACTTCTGTCGTCCCGGTTTTTCTCTTCCTATAGAATGAAATTATCTCTGTAAGAAATTGAATCCACCAGCATCATTGACTTACAATTATATGGACGTCGCGTCGGGTCCGCGCTAAAAAGTGTCCGAACTTATGGGGCGTTAAAATCGTATACAGAGCATCATTCACGCTTTAGTCTTCGTTTGTTCGACTGACAGCGAAGCAAGCAAAATTAGACAGTAGGTACTGCGATGACATTACAATTTAAATTCAACGTTTTAGCTTTTTCACATTCCTTTACATGTCACTACGTTTAAATAGGTTGACTTGGGACATTTTTTTCGTGGTTTTTGTATTAGACCCGTCGTCCATTTATTTGTAAGTCACTGACCAGCATTAAAAAAAATCTGTACATTTTATTCATTTTGTGTGAAAAAACATTTTATTAAATTTGACCAACTTTTGCTGTCGCGAGTTTTGTCTTCCAATACAATGAAATGATTCTTACGTGAAAGTCAGTCGATAAGCACTAAAAAAATTAATAAATTTAATTATTTGTTTTTTACAACTCACAAAAAAATACTACCTATGCCATAATTGTTTTCAACAAAAGGCTTTCTTACGGTCCGAACCATTCAAGTTCTCGGTATCTCCCCATACAGTCCCAGTTAAAAAAAAACACACTGTATAGATTACAAAAAAAGATGGCGTCTCATGACAAGCTAAAATGAAAAACAGATGGTTTCACAGTTAGTAGATAACTATGACACATTATTTACACACATAATATATGTATACCCTAACACATTTCACACGTCTTTGACTTCACACGAATTTGGAGATTTTTACGAACCATTTTGCCACAAGTAGGTTTCATCGCGACATTTTCTTTCACCGTTGGAGCAAGTAAACAAAATGATAATAATTTAGTAAACGATACGGCATATCGCAGGTTGAAATAAATACAGCCCCTAAAAGAAAAGTATCCCTTTTAACCCATGCTTCGCACATACTTACACTTTAGTTAAGTTAGCGATCTAGTACTGAGAAAACACAGCCACACGTGATTGGTTAGAGATAAACCACTAAAGCCGCATTCATAATGGCAAGGTAATTACTTGGGGTTGGCGCTCACATCGTTTTCTCTATTTGCTAATAATCATCATTTGACTAGCAGTAGAGCTCCTTGTGAATTAAATTACCAATTAACATCAATTGCAACATCGCAATTAATTTTATTGCCATTCATTTTAATTGTAATTGATTTTAATTGCAATTAAATTAATTGCAATTACTGTTTCAAATTGTCTCAAGAAACAATTGAAACTAACAATTAAAACCGAAACTACCGAACAAAAGTGTCATTATTAACAATTAATAAATTGTTAATTGCTGTTTCGCAATTGACAATTAATTAAGTGTCAATCTTTAATTGCCTGAACAATTACATTTTGCCCAACACTTAACTTACCTATTTCTACCGCCTAGCAGTAAAGTCAGCATTACTGTTTTCAGGTTTTGAAGGGTAAAGATGGTTATGGACAGGTGTGTAACTTACCATCAGATGCACGACTTGTTCGTTCCGTCCCTTGGCTTTTATAAAAAAAAATAATAACGTGACAACCCTACATTAAGAGCGAAGTGATTGATGCGCTAAATAGGCCGGAGTAGATGCTAGTAGTTTACTCAGTTTTCGCTAAATAGCATTAATGTCACTACGACTTTCGCCGCTGCGTAACCACTTTATATCCATAGAGATTTGACTGTCAATCATGTATTATGCGTCCAAGTAAAAAAAAATACCAAAGTACTGTCGGTAAAACCTTTACTGCAAAAAATTGACGAAATATATAAAGTTAAAAAGTATCTATGAAATAACATTCGCATACAATAAAACTATTTTTTATGATACTAGAAAACGGGACGAACAAGTCGTGCGCCTGGTGGCAAGCGACATGCCTGTCCAAAACAGTTGCAGTGCCACTCAGAGCTTTAAATCGCAAAGACCGGATAGGCACTCGCATGCGACCGTCACCCCAGATATATAAATTAACAAGTCCCATTTGCCTGTAATTTCACCAGCGAAACATTGACATTAAACATTTGAAAATATACTTACGTTACGTTAGTAGACTGTTCACAACAATGTAACTGACTATCAAATTCCTAATACTGGGTACAGACCACTGACCTTATAATCTAATCATCTCTCAACAGAACTTCCTGTTTTTTTTAGGTGAAAGACCGAAGACACGATCACGGCACCGATTACGACGATGACGTAAGTAAATGTTATTGTTAAGTTTTTGATAGTTAAATCTTTTAAACGAAGTTTAACATTTTTGAGAACTCACTTGGAAAGTTTACGTTTTGCGTAATAGTTTCTTTAGGTTCTCTGGAAATTGTAACAATGGTTTATTTTCCAATGGATTGTATCGGCGACATCTAGTTTTTACACAACAAAATCTGAAAGTATACTTACTGGTATTTAAACCATAAACCATAAATGGTTTGAGGAAACCATATATTTCTAATGAGTTTTATGTCTAATCTGCTGTTTTTCTTCTCAGGGTTCAAACTACGCTTTCTCATACAGAGTGAAAGACCGTGACACTGGAGATGACTTTTCACATTCACAGCAGAGCAGCGGATCAGCTACCAACGGAGAGTATCGTGTTCGACTCCCGGATGGACGTATGCAAATCGTCAGCTACACCGCTGACGAAAATGGATACAAAGCTGACGTTAGATACGACGACGAGGAGGACAAAACTCAAGAAAATAGAATTGATAACTACGATTACCACTTGAAACAAAAGGGTGACCAAAACAAATATCATTACGACCAAAATAAACATCATTACGACGTAAACGAACAACATTATGACACAAATATTAATAATTACAACCAAAATAATCTTAATTATGACCCAAATGTAAATAATTATGACCACATTCATGATTATGGACAATATGGTCAAAATGTACACGATTATAGTGATGTCAATCACGATTATATACAGAATAGGAATTATAAGCCTGTAGAAGAAAATTACAAAACTAAAGAAGATTTCGATCAATATTCCGATTTATCGAAGGAAATAACTGATTATTCTGCAGAATACGATGGAAAACACGACAACTACGAGCCACATAAAAGCAAATTTGGTTCTTTAGTTAGCACTCAAAGCACTATTGGCACTATAGTCGTGCCTAGTTCAAACCCTAAGGGATTCCCGTCGTCTACAGTCAAACCATCTTATGCAGAACTAAAACCTTTATTCGTAACTAAAAAATCACGAAACTATGTATCTTCGTCGACTGTAAGACCATCTTATCAAGAGCTTAACCCCTTATTTGTAACCAAAAAGTTATACAATGTTGAACCGAGTTACAACCCCGTTGAAATAAACGTACCATCAACCACTCCTAATACAAACTTTGAAGGTACTACAGAACATGTAGTGGTCATAGGTGCGAAGCCTTTGTACACGAATATTAAAGACATAGCAGGAGTTACAATGACTCCATCAACATTTTCACCGCCATTAAACTTCGTAACGCCAAGAAGTTATTTAGTTTCAACCATTGACAGTTTGAAGAAAGGAGAAAAACCAATTTTGAGTGATAGTTTTATAAATAGAATTAATAAGTATTTAAGTTTTAATTGAATTGTATGCTATTGGCCTCTCTTTCTTTTTAATTTAAGGACTAGGATCTTGTGAATATTGTAGCCGCCATTCAGTGTTCTGCAAAGCGTTTTCTTCCATCTGCTTTTATTTCCCTCAACGGGATACCAATATTAATATTTTTTTTATAGATAAAATCACTTGAATTCGTCTTGTTTTGAAGAAAATAATGATAAAATAAAACTTGGTTTTCGCGTCTAAATGTCAAAATAGTATAACTTTGTCCTGCAAAAAGTTGCTGTTAAGGTAATTAACAACCTAAGCGTGTCTCTGAAGTATAATTTTAAAGGAATTAACAGTCCGGCGTCACAGTACTTTGCTGAAAATGTAATTTATGCTTAGAAGTACTGAAGTAGTGATGTTGCGGTAAATGTAATTAACAGGTATCGGAATAGGTAGAGTTTTTTTACCTAAACTTCGAGGAATATAGACAGAAAATGGAGACTTTCGACAATATTTCTTAGGTGCTGGACCTGTTCGAGATTCGGGAAATCATTTAAGTACATTAAAAATTGACGTAATTGGAGACAGGCAGGTACACTATATTTATCTTATTTTACGACACAGTGGATCGAATCAGCGATATTGCGTACATTGGATATTTTTCACGATGCTTCTCTAAAAAAAATGCCAATCGAGAGGTTCTATTATCCTGATTAAATATTGTCATATCACATTTTGACAAAAAACTAATAATTTGGTAGGAAAAAAATAAAATGTGTATTTTTCTGACCTTTAGTGCTCCATCAGACGTCTTCGGAGCCCGAATTCCGAAGACGTTTAGGACCTAAAAAATATTGTCGTAATGCAGTCTCCATTTTCTGTCTATGTTCCTTGAAGTTTAAGCAAAAAAAACTGTACCCATTCCGACCCTGGAAATGAATGTGATAAATATTAATAATAACCGGTCATTATTAATGATTGTTTCATGATTTGGTGGATGTTATAGAAACTGTGAAATTCGTCACTTTTACCGGTTGTTATTCATAATTCACTACTTTCTTCGATTAATAATCAAATGACGAGTCTTCCGCACGCTCCCAGACGTTACTTTTGCAAGTTTATTACAATTATCAATACCAAGGATTAATGATTAATAATCACCAGTAAAAATAATTAATTTATTACTTTAACCTCGAATTTCGTTAATTAATAGGGGTTTAAATATGAAATTGCCGATTTATTTTACTGGCCACTTTAAATTAAAATTAAACCTGTATGGTGTCCGATTTCAGAGTGAAAAGTTTTTCACACGAAAAGTAAAACATGCTTAACTTAAAAAACATGATATTTGATTGTTCGACTTTCAATTGTTTTTACATTCAGCTTTTAACGTGAAGATGGATACAGCGAAAATCTGAGTACCTAATTTTCGAATACGAATTTCCACATGGAGTTAACGTAGCAGAAACTGACAATGCTGTATTTGGAGAGGATACGGCATACGCAAATACGGCAAACGCCGGCAATACGGCAAATTACGACTTGAAGAAAGAACCACGAGGAAGACCAGTCACAAATGTAAATAACGTTGAATTGAAGGTAATGATGGAAGCCGATCCGTATCAAACTACCACGAAACGTCATGGTTTAATGTTAGCATACCCACAATATGACATATGGTGTTTGAATAATGACGACGGAACTCGCAGCAAAACAGCTTCACCGTTATTGCTCTATGATAACGCAACACCTCACACTGCTTGAGAAACAGTTTTACTACTACAAGACCTGCAGATATAAATTATCCATCATCCTACATATTCGTCGGACCTCGCCCCCGACCGACTACCATTTTTTCCCGCAATTTGATTTTTTTTTGTATATGGAAATAAAATTCCCAGGAAGCAGTACAAAAATCCCTTCACACAGTTGTGGAGACCAGGTCCCCAGAGTTCTATCGCAAAGGTTTAAATGATTCCGATTACATGGCAGAAATGTATAGACAACAAGGGAAAAAACTTTGATTAAACAAATATATTTAATCTTAAAAAAAATCGTTTTAATTTTTCAGTGCGAAACGGCAATTTCATACTTTAACCCCTAATATTAATAATGATTGATGATTATTAATAATTTCCAATTAATCACGCTTACCATAACGTTGATAGACATGAGATCAATATGGGTAATATATAAATAAACTAGCTGTACTCAAGTCAAAGTCAAAATAAAATAATAAAAGTAAAATAATCATTTATTCCATAGGTAAAATGTTTACACTTGAAAACGTCATTTTTAAGCTACTGCTCGTTCACTACGCTGATTTCCCTGAGAAGAACGGGCAAGAAACTCTAGGGATTGCTCTTTTCAAATAAACTTAAATGCTATGGAATTACATACAGTTTGAATCATAATTGCGTGAAATCTAGACTCTTGTTGCCTTTCCATACTTCTTTATATAAAACATACTCTAGTAAAGGAGGGAGATTCTTTCTTCCGTTGGATGAGGTTACCAAAACAAGCCAAGTGAAACTACAAATGGTTCAGTAGGTGTTTATTATCACCCTATATGAGCGTATGAAATGTCAGAAGATCCGGGTAGCAGTTCCCAAGAAGGGATTTAACTCCTGGTTGCCTTACAGAACTCTCTGTGTTCTCAGATTTCTCTTCACATTAACCAAATTATATTCGAGTAGTCACCATTCGAGGGAAAATCTTAACATCGCGATTCAGAAATAACGCCAAATGGGTCAATGCCATCCAGCGGATTCTTATTGAACTAAAAGTGAGCAATCTGGCTTAAGGCCGTCTATTACATAAAGTAGGTTTGTACAGTAAAAAAACAGTTTGTAAAGTAGGTTACATAGGTACTTTAGACATACCAATTTTTTTTTATACATCAACTGAACTAAACAGAACACGTATAATATACGATATACATTTTTCAAATGGCTTTAACTACGTTTGTAAAAAAAATAAATTCTGAAATAAAGGCTGTGTTCGTGCCGTTTGATCCAAGCAAAATGAACCGTATTAGTACGGGAAAAATAT